AACATTTTGATAATAATTGGGGCTAGGTAATAGTACACAGGGGGGTTCATTAGACTACTCTACTTCTGGATATGTTTAAAATGTTCCATAATAAAAATTAAAAATATTTTTTCAGAAAAAAAGGTGATGCAAACTGCAAAATGTTAAGTTGTAAAATCAAGGCAACAGTATACTATCATTATCCTGATTGCTCTCCTCTGTATGTCTGAAAAAAATTATTGGGGCTAGGTAATAGTACACAGGGGGGTTCATTAGACTACTCTACTTCTGGATATGTTTGAAATGTTCCATAATAAAAATTAAAAATATTTTTTCAGAAAAAAAGGTGATGCAAACTGTAAAATGTTAAGTTGTAAAATCAAGGCAACAGTATACTATCATTATCCTGATTGCTCTCCTCTGTATGTCTGAAAAAAATTTTTTTCTTTTCTTACTTTTTTTTTTGTATGTCTGAAAATTTTTATGAGTCAAGAAAGAAAGAGTAATCTAAAATTATGAATAAGAATATAATTGAGTATATAGCTCAACGCTCAGAATTCAGGAAAACCAGTAACTAATTTAGTAACTGGTCTAGTCCCTCACTCCCTCAAAAAATTGGGGCTGGATGGTTAGCTCAGTTGGTTAGAGCGTGGTGCTGATAACATCAAGTTCCAGGGTTTGAGACCTGTATTGGCCAACTGACCAAAAGAACCCCCCCCCAAAACACTCTGAGAATCTTTCACTTTAGAAAGTTCTAATCTATCCTGTACATGAATTATTTTTAAGTCTGTATCTTTTCTTTCCAACCAGCCAGTCCATGGAAAGCTGTAGCCGATTCACCTCTACACATAGAACAGAGCTTCGCACAGAGTTCACTGAATGCACATCTCATCTCCCAAGACTCTTCTGGTGTGCTGGGCCTCGGGGGACAAACAGAAAAAGAACCCTGGTCCCTGCTCTTGGAAAAGCTCATGGATCCCACTCTAGCAGACCTGCAAATTAAATAAGAATGAAATAGGACTGATGGCTCCAACAAAGGACAGACATGGAGAGGGTAATAATAAAAGAAGGAATGAACAAATAAATCCACAAACTCCACTAACACTCAGTCTCTCGATTCACAGCTCACGGTTCAGTGCCACGGTGTTAAATACCGTTTATACGCTGATGGTTCCCACATTTATATCTCAATTTCAGATAGCCCATCCTCCAACTACCACCCCCATCTTTCCAGCTGACTTCCTTGAGGGACTCAACTCCAAAAGTTCCTCGGTACTTTCTGGACCTACAGTCCTGATGGTTAGTCCTCTCTCTCTCTATACTGTCCCTGCCCCATTGCATCCTCCCTCCCTTCCTTTATTCAGCTTTGATTCCTGGTGCTCTTGTGCCCTGCCTCCCTCGAGCTGTCACTCACTAAGGAAAACCCCAATGCTGACCAAGCCCAACTCTCTCTGGCTATTCTGTGCCTGCACCTGCAGAGCTGCTGAAGGTCCCTTGGGAGCTCTTGGGGCTGCCAGCAAACTGCTACATTTCCCTAGTCTATTCAACTGTCCTGCTCCTATTTCCCATGTGGTTCACTTCTCAAACCACAACACCTCCTTCACCCTCACTCTCAGCTGAGAAAATGGAAGCAATCAGGAGAAAGACTACAAGCTCCCACCACATCTACCTGCACAACTTCAAGGCTGCCCATATGCTCTGACTTCCCATCACAGCTGGTTACTGTGGACCAATCCTTTGTGCTCCCATCTAAAGCCAGCTTGCTTCCCCTGCATGCCAGATCTCACCACCTTACCTCCACAGCTACGATGTTCTGGCAAGCCTCTCCTGTATCACCAATTTTTACTCTCTTGACCATTCCCATCAGCTTACAAATCTGCTATAATTTCTCTCTTCTTAAACAAAAGCCCTCCCTTGACCCAACGTGCTCCTGCATCTATCACCCAATTTCTCTGCCTCCTTTTCATAAGTCATACAAAGAACTGTCTAAGGGCATCCTCTCAAGTTTCTCTCCTACCACACCCTATTGAACACTTAAATTCTCTGTTGATGACTGAGGATATCTGGGTTGCTAAATCCAAAAGTCATTTGTCATTTCCCACCTTACTTGGCCCATGAGCAGCATTTGAAACATCTGATCCCTTGCTCCCTTGAAATTCTTTCTTCACACCACACTCACACAACTTTTGTCCCACTTCACTGTCCACTCTTTCCTGGATTCCTTTAATGGTTCTTCCTTAGCAGCTGTGGTGACCTGAATAATAACCCCCTCCCCTGAGGATATCCATATCTTAATACTGGAACCTGTGAATATGCTACTTTACATGGTAAAAGGGACTTTGCAGATGTGATTTTGAGATGGGGAGATTATTTTGGATTATTTGGGTGGGCCCAACGTAATCACTTACAAGTGATGATAAGCAATCCTTATGAGTGGAAGAAGTACACCAGGGTCAGAGAGATTTAAAGATATGATAGTGCTGGTTTTGAGGATGGAGGAAGGGGCCACAAGCCAACTAACTGAAGATAGCCTCTAGAAGCTGGAAAAGGCAAAGAAATGATTCTCCCCCAGAGCCTCCAGAAGATATGTGACCATGATGACATTAGATATTAGCCCAGTCAGACCCATTTCAGAATTCTGACTCTGGAACTCTAACAGAATAAATCTGTGTTGCTTTAAGCCACTCAGTTTGTGATAATTTGTTATAGCAGCAACAGGAAACTAATACTGCAACTCACTTTCTAACTGTTGCAGCAGTACCCTAAAGCCCAATCCTCAGATCTCCTCTCTGCCCTATTTACAACACTCTCTTAGAGATTTCATCCAGTTTTATGGCTTACACTCTATAATGACCCCCAAATGTGTAAGTCTAGCTGCAATCTCCCCCTCTGTACTCAATGACTCATGCTTTCAGTTTCCTATACTAATATCTCAAACTCAATGGAACCAAAACCAAACAAACTCTTGGTTTACACACACACTCACACCCATTCCTATTCCTCCTCTCTCAGCAGTGATAGCTCTTTCATCCAATATATCAGGTCAAAAGCCTTGGAGTTTGCTACATATCTATTATTTAACTATTTGAAAAAAAGTGACAATACCAACTGCTATTGAGGATGTGGAGCAACAACAACTATCATACATTGCTGGTGGAAACGCAAAATGGAACTGCCACTTTTGGAAACGTTTGGCAGTTTCTCAGAAAGTTCAAATTCGGTGCTGATAAGCAGAATCTTTCAAAACCTGGAGGCTGTAGTGACAAAGAATGATATAAAAGGGTCTCTGGTGAACAGTCTGTGAATGACAAAAGACTTAAGTTTGAATTTTTTCTAGTTAATAAAAGCTCACATTTCCTGACCTGTCTGCTCCCCTACTTACATTCCACTTCTGTCAAGTAATTTACACCTTTCCCCTAAATATGCTACTCTTCCTCATCTTCTGAGATATAAAACAGCTCAGCATTCTTCAAAAGACAACAGAGGAAAGTGAGACAGGAAAGGGAAAGTACCTTGCCCATGGCCACACAACCAGTTAGTGATGGATACTAGAAACAGAGGAGCCCAGTTCTGAGAACCACCTGAGATTCATGTTTAAAACATATCCACCCCATTCCCAGAACTACTGAACCAGAATGGAGGGGGAAATCTGCAGGCCTAGTGAGCTCACAGGGGAGCCTAAGACAAAATAAAATTAAAGAGGTCTTAGATTCGGCTTCCCGATCTTTCTCTCATGCCTCCTCCTTAGGCCACCTAAGAAGCAAAAGTTGGAGATTCAAACGTGCTGAAATGGGGATGGAGGGCCCCCCTCCCCGTTAGGAGCGATGTCCTTAATCCCATTTTTTGCTCTTTCCTCTCACCGATCACCCTTGGCTTTCAGATGCCAGGTGTTCTCCCCCTCTTTGACCCTTCAAGCTACCCCCTCGCCTAAGGAAATCCTCCCTTCCTAAGCTCCTCTGCTTCCCTTCTCCCATCCACTGGGCAATAGTAAGCCCTGACCATTCCTTAAATTCTTCTCGGTCTCACCTACTCAAACCTCCTCCACGGCCCCACTTCGGTACCATTCCTGTTGTCTTAGCACGCCCCTTAGCAGGCATACACACCGCCAGACTTCTTCCATTCCAGAAGGTTCTCGACCCTTGACCTCTCCCTGATCCCACCTCCTTTCAGGGGGACCCACCCCTTACAGGTGACCCCGCCCTCTATTAACCTTCTCCAGCCCCACTCCCTGCAGGGGGCCCCGCTTTCCCTCGCTCTTCCAATTCCCACCTGACCCCACCCACCAACACCTTTCCACGACCCCTCCTCCTTCCAGGTATCCCCGCCCCTCCAGGCCTCTCAGACTCCGTCGAGTTTAACCGGCTCTGATTCTCGTCTACCCTCTACCTGGCTCCTCTCCCTCCGCCTGCCCGCAACCCGCTGCCTCGCCTCCCCCGTCCGCCGCACTCGCGGCCGCCTCAGCGTCCCCACGCGCGAGCCTCTGCAGGCACCCCCACCTCGCGAAGTTGTGGGCCCCGAGCGTTCGGTACGCCCGCCGCCCGTGCCCTCCAGCACCACGCCAGCGGCCCCTCTTGCCTCGCGCCAGCCCCGCGCGCCGCGGTCCACAGCGACACACTCGAACCCGCCTGGAGAGCCGCTGCAGTCCCAAATTCGCGCCACGGAATTCGCGCGCAGACTTCGGCGGACGAGGCGGGGCCGAGCTGAGGGGGCGAGGCCCAGGCGCCGTTCGCGCCGCCGTCGCCGCACGCGGGACGCTGGGAATTGTAGTGTTCCGAACCGGAGGCGGCCTGGTAAGGGGTGAAGGAGGGGGAGCCCTCCCGCACAGCACGCTGGGAAACGACCCCGAACTTTCCCTCGCCCTGGGTGAGCGGGCGTGGCTGCGGAGTGGCGGAGAAAGGAGAAGATTCGGTGGCAGCCGCCGTGCAAAGCATGGCGGGAAGAGAGGCGGGAGGCCGCGCGGGGCATCCCGGGAGCAAGGGCCGGGCCGGGCCTCGGCGCGGGGCACTGTGGGATGTGGACGCCGCTCCGGGGCGGGTAGGTGAGTGGGGAGGGGCGGGAAGGGTGCCTATCTGGGGGAGGGGAGAGGCATAGCTAGGTGGGACGGCGAGGCTGGGAGGGGCCGCGTGGAACGGTTCTGGGAGGGCTTGGGGAGGCGGAGCCTGCTAGAAGGAGCTGGCTGCTCGCGGGGGAGGCGCAGCTGGACTTGGGGGGAGCCTCTGGGGTGAAGAAGCCAATCTGAGGACGAGGGGTCGTGTCTAAAACGAAGACACACATTGGGGAGGATGGTGGCTGTAGCTGGGAGGAGGGGGCCGCAGCCGGACTGGGGGACGAATCTGAGGAGAAGCGGGACAACGGAAAAATATTGGTGACACTTCTGAGGAGAATTGGCCACAAGTGGGACACAACTGTAGGCGAAAGGTCCATAAGTGGATGAGGGGAGCACGTCTGGAAATGGGAGCATATCTGGGAAGCAGGAGCCATAGCTGGATGTGGCGATCCATAGGGGTCACATCTGGAGGACGGGCAACAACTGCATGTGGGTGACACATCTGGGGAGGAGGGAGCCACAGGTGCACGAAGAATATGACTGGATGAGGGGTCCATGCCTGGATGTGGGGAGCACATCTGGAGATGGAACATCTTTAGAGGGGGCACAACTGGGTGTGGGTTACAACCAAGTGTAAGCACATGGAGGGGGGATTTCCAGATGGATGGGGGCACTAGAGGTTACTGCTAGGGGTGAGAGACACATTTGGAAGGGGGAAAAGTCTTAGTTGGAATTTGGGAATACATTTGAGCTTAAGGGTCTTATGTTGGGAGAGGGTACCCCAACTGTACATAGGGGTCACATCTAGAAAAGAGGAGACCAGAGTTGGAATTAAGGATCCTAATGACAGGCTCCCACTGAACCTGGGGTAAGGCGGTAGGGGGAGGCCAGAGATAGGGTGGGGATTCATATCTGATGGAAAACGGGCACATCCGGCCCATGGCCTCACCCGGACGAGGGCACCAGCACCCGACGGGGCAGGCTGAGAGTGGAGAAAATACGACACCCCGTACAGGGATGGGTTTGATATCCTGCAGTTTTCCCCCCTTCTACTTAGGCGCCCCAGGATGGAGCGGCCGGAGCCCCTATCCGGCACGGCGGCGGGGCAGGAAGAACAGGAGCTGAGGGAGCGGGCCTTCTTCTCATGGGCCGAGTTCAGCCGCTTTTTTGATGCGTGGTGCCAGCAGCGGCTAGCACTTTTCTTCGTCAAGAGCTCCATGCATCTGGCCCGCTGTCGCTGGGCCAGCGCGCCCCCGCTCTACACGCTCATTGATGTGCTCAAGTACAGCTATGTGCGGCTCGTGTGCAAGGACGTGCGTGCGCCCAGCCGGCCCGCCGTGGGGTGAGTGAGCCTGAGCCCAGCCCTGCTGGGGTGGCCGTGGGGGAACAGGCAGAGAGCCTGGCACCCAGAGACGTGGAGGGACAGAGGCCGACTGAGACAACTAAATACACCTTGCAGAGAGGAGGGGTGTCAAGGAGGTACACTTACCGAGAGAGGGAGACAGAAACAGAGAGCTGGAAGGACAAAGGCACTCACAGAGTGAGAGACAGTGTGGGCCTGACTTACAGACTTTAATAAAAATCCTTAGAGAGGCAGAAAGTAATATAGAAATGCATACAATCAAGAGACAGAAAAAAAAGTCACAAGGCCGGCCCGTGGCTCACTCGGTAGAGTGCGGTGCTGATAACACCAAGGCCACGGGTTCGGATCCTATATAGGGATGGCCGGTTTGCTCACTGGCTGAGCGTGGTGCTGACAACACCAAGTCAAGGGTTGAGATCCCCTTACCAGTCATCTTTAAAAAAAAAAAAAAAAAGTCACAGAAAATTCCACAGACATCGGAGCAAGAGACACCAGAGAGAGCCAGGAAAAGTAGAGAACCAGGTTTTGCACACATACAAAGAAAACAAAGACTGGAAGACTGGACTACAGGGAAAGCCACAGGATAAAGAAAAAGATTCATCTATTCAGTAAATACAGGGCCAGGTCCCACGTTGGGGGCTGGGGATATTTTATTTGGGGTGGCGGGGGAGTGTCGAGCAAGAGACAAAAATCCCTGTCCTTGAAGAACTTTGAAGCTGACAGGAAGACTGGCAAGTAGTTCCTTACAACTGTGTAATGCTACAAGGAGGGGCAGGTGAGAAACCCAAGAGAGTCAGGAATCACACCCAGGTGACCAGGGGTATTTTAATTGACCCCAGTTTTAAACCAGGATTGTTTCCCATACAATGTTGGGTTTCTAGCTTCCCTTGAAATGGAGGAGGGGGGAGGCAAGACCATGTTTCTTTGTGTCATACAGCCATCTCCATTAGGTGGGGCTTTGGGGCTCAGGCTTGCCCCAGACCCCAGTGCTTTCTGCTGCCTCATACTTAGCACTGTCACTTCTTGTTTGCCTTCCTGGTCCTTGTAGGTGTGTGAGTTTGAGACCCTTGGTTGGGGAGCCATAGACAAGAGCAGAGTGCTTAAGAACACAGGCTCTGCCTTCAGGCTGCCTGGAATGGGCTCCACTGCTTCTTGGATGGGTGTCTTTGGGCAATGGACTTCATATCACTAAGCCTCAGTTTTCTCATCTCTGAAGTGCGATTGTTACAGTATCTGCTTCATGGGGCCATTGTGAGGATACCATGAGATCATGCACAAGAAGGGCACTTGCCCTAGTGCCTGGAACATGGGGCAGCTGGTTAAGTTATAGCTCTTTTAGAAGGCTTTGGGGCCATTACTCTGCTGATGATTAGCCAGTGCCTTTGAGCAAATGACTTCACCTTTTTGGGCCTCGGTTTCCTCACTTGGAAAATGGGGGATGTAATAGTATCTATGTGACAGGCTTTGTGAGTATTAAATGAGCTAATACATGTAAATTATTCTGAAGAGCATCCAACACAGAGTAAGCACACTCTAACAGTTACTCTCACCCGTAGTTATTTAAACATTTATTGTGAGATTGCTATTCTCCCTGGTTCACCCATTACTTATTCTAGAAACAGGGACTTGGAGATCTGAAAGTAGAACAGTGTCACATCATCACATAGCAACCTAGAACATTAGAGCTTGCAAGAAGCTGAGGCCTAATCTGAAATCTCTCTTTGAACCTAACTCAATGTAATAAATACTTATTGAGCATACTATGTGCATGTTCTTTGTGGGCATTTGGAACCCAGAGCTGGTCTTGGCCTTTGAACTGTTTAGAACCCAATGGGGGAGACAAAAACATCCCCTCTCCCAAAATTGCAAATAGTGGCCCACAGTGGTGAGAGCAAGACTGTGGGGGCAAATGGGTGGAGGATAAAAAGGGAGTGGTCAGCCCAACCTGAGAGCTTATAGGGTGATTCTGGAAGGCTTCCTAGAAGAGATGACTAGTGAGCAGAACCCTGTAGGATTTTTATTTGTTTGTATATTTATGTATGTACAGTATTTGACTTAACAGACATGTGGCACTCACTATGTGCAGGTACCAAGTGCTCTACAAGTATCAGAGAGAGTCAGAGGCAGGAGGGACAGAGCTGCAGAGGGGGTAAGGATGGCGCTCTGGGTTCAGGCCTGGTGACTGAGTGGACAAAGGGATGGTCCCTGGATGAGGAGTGTAGGAGCGAGGGTGGGATGAGGTGATTCAGGGACAATGACTTGGACCCATCATTTCTGAGCTTTCCCACACTCCCTCTCCAGCTGCTCAAAGCAGGGCCTCTACATGTCACAGCCCAGGGATAGCTGAGGTCTGAGGCTAGAGAACTCAGTTTGTGGGAAAAGGCAGGAGATGAGGCTGGAATAGTGTCAAGGCTTGGATCTGGGAGTACTGAATCCAGAGGCTGGGACTTTATCCTGGGGTTGCTGGGGAGCCCCAGAGGGCTGTGAGCTGGGTTAGCTCTAGGTATAGGAAGATCCCTCTGGGGCCATGTCTGGAGGAAAGAGAAGGGAAACCAGGGATAAGGCTGGGGCTGTGGATCCAGGGAACATAGATAAGGCGTTTCTTCCTGGCAACTCCTTCCCCCTTTCTAGTGATTGTACAGGGACCTCCTCCAAGTCACCATCCCTGCACCTTCAGCTCTCCAGCTCCAGTTTCTCTCTCCCTCCCTTTCTCTCAGCACTTCCCTCTCTAGGACAGAATTGCTTAACCTTTCCCAACACACGCCAGCCTCTGAAAACACAAAGATCTTAAAAACCTGGAAGATCAAGAATGGGTGAGTGGAGCGCAAAATAAATCAATGGTATTTATAGAAGAAGAAAAAATGTTTTGAAAATAGCAGCTACCATTTCTTAAATGTTTGCTAGGAACCATCCCCTTTTCCAACTAGTTTACATAATTTAATTCTCTTATTTAGTCCTCTCGACAAGCCTGTGAGGCCAGTATTATTATTAGCCCCAATTTCCAGATGAGAAAATTGAGGCACAGAATGGTTTAAGGACTTTCCCATTATAACACAGCTATTAGGAGGGAAAACCAGGATTTGGGCCCCCACAAAGTCTGACTGCAAAGCCCATTCCTTTAATTAGTGCCCTATCTACTCCCTCTCTTTCTTTCTTTCTCTCCCTGTCCACCCCCCATCTTTATTTCAACCATGGATTATCAATATGAGAGTTGAATGTGCTGGCACCCTAAAAATTTCTTAGTTCTAGGCACCAGCCTGTTTGTCCATTCATCAAGAGGTTTGTTTTGAGCACCTCCTATGTGCAAGGTGTATGTGTCTTAGATGCTGGGGTTTCAGTGGGGAGCATACATTACAGATGGGTGTCAATCATATCTTCACCCCAAAAGTGTGATGGAATCTGTCTTAGCTATAGGATGGTGAGGGAAGGCTTCCTGGAGGAGGTGATGCTGGCTCTGCAGCCAGAAGGATGAGTAGGAGTTGACTAGGTAAAAAGAAGGAAGAATAATGTGTCATGAAGGAGAAAAGAACTTACGGTAGGTAGGTGGCAGTGGAAATGGAAGAAAGTGGGTGGTTTGGAGAGATTTAGAAGGCATGATGGGTAGGACTTGGTGATGGGTGGTTGTGATGGAATGGGAGGCCATATCCCAGAAGAGAGGTGCCAGGGTGCCTATGTTACGTAGTGCTTTCAGTCGTTCACTCACCACATATTTACTGGCACCTCCAGGGGCCAGGTATTGTTCTAGGTGCTGGATAGAGAGATAAAACACCCTAACCCTAACCCTAACCCTATCCATGTGGAGTTTACATTTAGAGGTCCAGAGAGGTGGAGAGAAATTGCAAAAATGGTGTATTGAGGCATTAGTAGATGGTTATGTGAGATACTGGGACCCCACTGAGGGGATGTGCTGTTCTCTGGCAAGATAGATGGCTTCACAGAAGATGTGGCATCTCCTGAGTGGGGGCCAGTTCTAAGGGCTGAAATACCTAGGGTGAAAAAGGCCAAACCAGAGAGTTTCACAAAAGCCTGTGAATGATTCTAGGAAAATGTACTGGGTGGAATCCCGTGAACTTGCCATTTTGGTAGTTCAAGGGTGGCTGCACGCTGGCAATTTCTTTTGCTTCCACCTGATATCACCGTGGTGGCTATATGTTTCTATTTTATTTATAATGATTTATATGCTTATGAGTTTACTAAATTTGCATTATTTTTGTTGCTTTAAATAAGGCAAAAATTTTCAAACTCTTTATTTAGATTTTTAAAATCTAGTGGACTCCTGCATTTTTCTTTATTTCATGCATGTAGGAGGAAAGGGGTGTGTCAAGGATTCCTTTCTGGTTTAACAAGGAAAATTCTTAAGTATTTATACTCGTGGTTGTCAGGGTGGACTCTGAGGAGAATCACCCTTCTCAGAAGCCATTTGGAAAAAATGTGAGAGCATTTTTGGGGGTATGCTATGGATGTTTACTACCTGGGAGCCACGGCTTCTTAACTACATGCCAGGCCCTGGGCAGTTTGTGTTCCAGGGTCAGCAAACTGGGAAGCCTTTGGGCCAAATCCAAAGTGCAGCCCATTTTTATAAATAAAGTTTTATTAGAATGCAGCCACACCCATTTATTTACATATTATCTGTGGCCGTGTTTGTAATATAGCAGCAACATATTACTATCTGACTACAATAAAAGTTTGATGACCCCTGCTCTGTAAACATAAAACCCCATACCAAAAAATGCTATCACTGTCCCATAGAGAAACCCTGCTTTCAGAAAGCTGATGCCAATCTAAATATTACTATCAGAGAAATACAGTCTGTTTTTTTTCCTACCCTGTTTCATTTTTTACAATGCTGGTTGTAACTCTCTAAATTGATTTCATGTAATGTACTATGGCTGCAGTTTGAGAACCACTCTCCTACATAAACTCTTGTTCACACACATGAAGAGATGTATAAGAAAATATTCATTGAAGCATTGTTTATAAGAAGGGAGAACTGGAAATGTCATAATAGTTGGCAGAGTTGTGGGATGGAACATTAGGCAGCAGGTAAAAGGAATGAAACTGAAAGTCTTGAAATTCTGATGAGTGAAAAAGCAAGCTGTGAAAGGATATGTAGAGTGTGATGCTTGCATTAGTCTCCTATTACCATTGTAACAAATTACCACAAACATAGTATCTTAAAGCAATACAAATTTATTATCTCACAGTTATCAAAAAAAAAAATAGAGAAAAATGTCTCCAACTATGTTGAATTTATTCAGGAATAAGAAAAGAGGGTTATAACTCAGAACATGCAGCCAGGGCAAGTCATGGGGTGCGTCTGGTGAGGGAAGGGTAAGAGAAAGCTTTTATTGGCAAAAGGGAGAGGTTCACATAGGCTGCTTGGAAACAGAGTTCATTGGTTTCAGAGGCTCAAAGCCATTTTTGTCATCAGTTCATTGGTGGAGATGCTGTTACTGGGCAAGTGTTCTTTCAGAGCATTTTATCTAAGTTACTGCAGTTCTAGAGAATGGCTAGTGATAAACCCTGTCATAAAAATATATGCCTACGTACAAAATGTGCAAGCTGTGCAAGGAGGAAATGGGTAAAGGATGTGAAGGTATTTCTTGTGATATTTTTAGAAAGTCCTTGGAGATAGTTCTTATCTTGGACAAGCAAGTATGAGTCCCTTCTTTTGTGTCTTTCCCAGCCCTATTTTTTGGGGGTCTGACGAAAAGTGATTTTTATCAACTTTCATACAGTTCTGGAGGTCACAAAGCCAATATGGGTCTTAATGGGCTATCATCAAGTTCTTGGCATGGCTGCATTTCTTCTGGAGGCTCTAGGGAGACCCTCTGCTTTCTTACCTTTTCTAGCTTCTAGAGACCACCCATGTTCCAGTTTGGCTCAAGGCCTCTTTCTCCATTTTCAAAGCCAGCAGAGTAACATCTTTTAATCTCTCTCTGACTTTGATCCTCTTGCTTCACTCTCTCCATTTTACTTACCCAGATAATCCAGAATCTCCTTGTCTGAAGATCCTTAATCACACCTGCAAAGTCCCTTTTGTCATGTAAAGCAACATATGTACACTTCCAGTGACTAGGATGTGCACATTTTGGGGAGCCATTATTTTCCTACTACAATGCTAGAAAACAAAGGTTTTCTATGTGAACATTTCAAAAGTGTAATGTACTTCCAGAGAAGTGCACACATCATACGTGTGCTACATGATGAATTTTCCCAAAATGGAATGCACATGTAACCAGCACTCAGAATAAGAAACAGAACACATCCAGTCGCAAGAAGCCCCTTCATGCCCCCTCATAGGGTTAACCTCTCAAGAGTAACTACTATCTAGTCTCTTAACAGCACAGATTAACTTCGTTTGTTGTTGAACTTTATGTAAATGGGAATCATATCGTGGGCTCTCTTTTGTGTCTGGCTTCTTTCACACAGCATGTTTGTGAGATTTGTTCATGTTTTTGGAGATGATAGTGATTTGTTCATTATTATTGTTGATTAGTATTTTATATTAGGAATATGAAGATACTTAAAAAAAAGTCTATGGGAAGATTCATATTATCTTTTAATTCTCTTTTTCTTGTTTTTTGGCTACTGGCCAGTACAGGCATCTGAACCCTTGACCTTGGCATTACAAGTCTGTGGTCTAACCAATTGACCTAACCAACCTGCCTTAATTCTGTTCTTCCACAGACTTTTTGACTTACCCTCATATTTCACAACTTGTTTTCTTGTTCTAATGTGGATATTTAGGTTTCAAGTATTTGGCTAGTATGTATAGTGCTGCTATGATCATCCTAGTACATGTCTTTAGGTGCCCATATGCAGGCATTTATCTTAAGTAGAATCGTTGGGTCACAGGAGAGGCATAGGATCAGCTTTCTTTCTTCATTTTGGTGGCAGGCTGGTATAGGGATCGAACCCTGGACCTTTGTGTTATCAGCACAACACTCTAACCAACTGAGCTAACCAGTCATCCCAGGATCAGGTTTAGTAGACACTGCCACACAGTTTTTCAAAATGGTTGTGCCATTTTACACTCCCTTCAGTGATGTGTGAGAGTTCCAGTTGCTCCACATCTTTATCGACACTTGATGTTATCAGTCTCATTTATTTGGTCATTCCGCTATTGTGTAGTGGTATTTCCTTAGGATTTTAATTTACTTCCTTGATGGCGCATAAGTTTGAGAACCTCTTTGCATATACAAAGTTTTAAAACATAGGAATGTACATTCTGTGGTTTATAGGTGTCTACAAACATATGCAGGAATGTTAAATGCACAATTTTGGTAGTGGCTACCTCTGAGAACAGGGGAGGGAGGGGTATTTGTTAGGGTAGGATTCACAGAGGGCTTCAATTTGTGATGTTGTCATTGCTAACCCAGAAGCACATACAGGACTATCTGAAACGTTTTATTTTTGAAATTTTTTTGAAGTATTTATAATAAAACATTCACTTTCGATAGAGCCAGGGGTGGTGGGTACAGAATTTTAGCAAACACATACCATGTTCCAGTTGTTTTTTAAAAGTACTTTATGTATATCAACTCCTGTCATCCTCACAACAATCCTATGAGGAAGATATGATGATGATTACTTTCCTTTTAACATATAGGGAAACTGAGACACAGAGACTTGAAGTGACTTGCCCAAGGTCACACAGCTGGCATATTCTTAAGGCCCTCTACTCTTCTCTATGCTTGAAACAATTCTTAATCAAAAAAATAAATAAATAAAAATAAGAAAGAGGAAAGGAAGAAGAAGGAAGCCAAGTGATGTGATGGCAGCGTTGGTCGTTCTTCCCACAGGCCCCCTCAACCCGGCTGCCCAGCTTTCATCATCGTCAAGCTGAGCCCACTGCGAGACCGCCTAGTGGTGACAGAGTGCCAGCTGACCCACTCACACCCAGCCTGCCCTCTCGAGTTTGCCTACTACTTCCGCCCAGGCCACCTGTTAGCCAATGCCTGCCTGCCGGTGCGCACCACCAACAAGATCTCCAAGCAGTTCGTGGCCCCAGCCGATGTGCACCGCCTGCTCTCCTATTGCAAGGGCCGTGACCATGGCGTCCTGGATGCCCTGCATGTGCTCGAGGGGCTCTTCCGCACTGATCCGGAGGCCAAGGTGGGGTCTCGGGAGAGGCAGAGGGGGATGGGGGAGAGCACACTGAAGACTCAGGTCATTCATTCTTTCATTCAGCTGCCCATTCATCCCTTTATTCCTTTTCTTTACTTATCTATACATTCATTCATTCAATAAGTACTGGCTGAGGCATTGGGGATGCAGCAGCAAACAAGACGCACATGGTCCCTGCCCTCAGAGAACTCACATTCTAGTGCAGTCTATTGAACTTCCTGCCAGGATGGAAATCCCAGAATGGTAGTCTCCAGCCACATGTGGCTATTGAGCACTTGATAAGAACTGAATTTATTTTATTTTAATTAATTGAAATTTAAATGCCCAGTTATGGCTGTTGTCTATCTTGGAGAGGTAATTGCTAGAACTACCTCGCAGTTTCTAGTGGGAGAAACCAACAATGGACAAACACATCCAAATATGATATAATGCCAGTAGGGTTGGATGCTTGGAAGAAGAGGAGCTGAAGTGATAATGTTGAAATATTTTTTTTAATTGAACTACACACATAGAAAATACACAAATAATAAGTATATAGTTTGATGAATGTTCACAAGGTGAAAACACCCCTGAACCTATCACCAAGATCAAGAATAAGAAGGGGCTGGCTGGTTAGCTCAATTGGTTAGAGCACAGTGTTATAACTCAAAGGTTAAGGGTTCAGATCCCCACACTGGACAGCCACCAAAAAGACAAACAAAAAACAACAACAAAAAGTAAATGAGAAGGGAGGATGCTATGTGTTACATAACGTGATGGAGTGATGAGTATCATAAAGAAGAATTAGGTGAGCGTTTGGAGAGGGACAGTTATAAGGTTGATATTTTTTTTTTCCTTTTTGTCTTTTTTACTGACCAGTAATGGGATCGCAACCCTCGGTGTCGCGCCCGTACCGGGGACCGGCAACGGGATCGCAACCCTCTGTGTTGCGCCCACACGGCGCTCAGCCAGTGAGCGGGAACCGGTCTCCACATGGGATCTGAACCCTCAGCGGGAGCGCTGCTGCGTTCTCAAGTGGCGCACTCTCCAGTGCGCCACCGGCCGGCCCTAAGGTTGATATTTTGAGTGGTCACAGAAGGCTTCTTTAAGGAAATGAGGGTGAAGCAGAGGAGATGGAATAGAGGGAAGGGACCCCCAATCTGTTGACAGAGGGAAGTGAGTTCCAGGCAGAGGGAACAGCCAGTGCAAAGGACCAGAGGCTGAAGCAAGCTTGGTGTGTTGGAGGAACAGTGAAGATGCTGCTCCTCTATGAGGTATTTTTCTGCCTCTTTGATCCAATTTCTGGTTTTAAGTGAACTTAAAGTTAGAAAAAAGAAGAAAGAAAGACAAGAAGGGGAGAAAACTGGTTTCTCCATCTGTCTGTGCCTTTGTCTCATGCATGGAAGAGATCCCAACTCAGGGTAAGGCTGAGATGTGAACCCACTCTCTGGATTCAGGTCTGGAGCGCTCTCCCCATCTCCATCTCATGCTCAGTAACCAGCCCTGATTCAAGCCAACTGAAGTCCAGCCCCAATTCACACATAATATTGATAATAATTTTAGCTAACTTTTATCAAGTACTTACGGTGTGCCAGCCACTACCCTAAGTGCTTTACATATAATATATTGAAATCTCACCAGAGCCCTATGAAAAAAGAGTCCACCATTCTCATCCCCATTTTACAAACAAAGAAATTGGAGCACAGAGAGGCCAAGTAACTGGCCTGAGGTCACACAGTGACTTAATGACAGAGCTGGGCTTTGTACCAACACAGTCTGAATCTAGGCCCATGGTCTTCACCCCTGTGCTATTCCTCAATTTGTAATTGAGGCTTGGGCCCCTCACCACCAGTTCCAGCCTCTGAAAGGTTGAGGGCCCCACCCAAGTCAGTTTGCAGCTCTGTAAAATGGGGGTTCACACACATCTCCCTACTCCACTGGTCTTCACTGACTGAGCTAGTAACTGCTGTTCACTGTTTACCATGAAATAAGTAAGCCTCAGCTGTTCTTCCATAGAAACATCCTCTGCAGGATTGCTCCTGTGTGAAGCAGCCCATTCATAAATTAAAGCCTTTCACAGAAAGGAATTGTCCTTTTAACTTTCATTTTGGAGGCTGTCATGGAATTTAACCTAAACCAAGTTTGGCTGAAGAGGTTCTAGAAAACCAAGAGACCAATGAAAGGTTATTCCTTTTAAAAAAACATTTAAACATTTACTTTTGAATATGTCACACTTTCACATGGTTCTAAATTGAAAAATACAAAAGGGTATGAAGTGAAAAGCCCCCTGTCACCTCTTGTCTCCCAGGTCTCCTCCTCAGAGCTCACCAGAGCTACCAGTTGCTTATATATCTATTCTTTGATCCAGACTGTCCAGTGGAACTTTCTGTGATGATAGAAATGTTCCTTATCTGTGTTGTCCGGTACAGTAGCCACTGACCTCATGTGGCTATTGAATACTTGAAATGTGACTAGTATGACTGAGGAACTGAAATTTTAATTTAATTAATTGATATTTAAACATCCCTATCTGAGGGCCGGCCCATGGCTCACTTGGGAGAGTGTGGTGCTGATAACACTAAGGCCAAGGGTTCGGATCCCTATATAGGGATGGCTCGTTGGCTCACTTAGGAGAGTGGTGCTGACAACACAAAGTCAAGGGTTAAGATCCCCTTACCAGTCATCTTTTTTTAAAAAAATAAACAGCCCTATCTGGCTAGTGGCTGTGTGTATTGGACAGCACAGCTCTATACATATACAGATAAGTTTGCATGTCTGTATTTTTAACCTTATTTCCTCTTTTCACTCTCCACCCCACCGCCCAGCAAGGTGGCATAATACACTGTTTTGCATCTTGCTTTATATGGTGGGGAGTGCCAGGTATCAGCATGGTTTGTTTTTCCCCTGGGACTGGTCAAATCCCCCTTAGAAAACTCCTCCAACCTCTTGTCTGGGGGGTAAAGGCAGGGCTGCCAGTTTCTGGGAGCCACATGGGGGAAGAGAGCTGGAAAGCTGGCAGTCAGTCAGCAAGATGCACTCAGTTCCCATTTGGGATTCCGAATCTCCCCTTTCTCAAGACTCCAAGGGCAGAGGACCCTTTCCGTTTTATGCTGTCTACAGAATAAATCTCCAGTCCTGGGGGGAGGGGAGGGGTATGAAGAGAGGGAAAACATGGGATTTAGAGATCTAGCTGCTACTTAAACAGCCCTCAACTAGTCTCTATTTAAACTTCCCCACACTGCCTGGTATTGACAATTCCTTTTGAGGACACCGCTATTGATTCTTAGTGTTCTTCGATTGCTGGCTTAGGATTCATAGTTTTTTGGGGGGTGGGGTCAGCTTATCCATCTGCTTTCCAGCTTCCAAAATTTTATACCTGTTAGCTCCTTTCCTGTTGCCCCTGTCAAAAAAAAAAAAAAAAAGCTTTTTTCTGTAGGTGTACCTGAGGTTCAGGAAAGAGTGAAATTAGAGAGGTATGCTAGAGCCATCACTTTTACACAGAAGTTTCACCTAGGTTTTTCACTTAATAGATCTATTGAAGTAGTTCTGTATTATTAATGTATTAATAATATAATAAAGAGTTCTTTATTCTTGTCCTAAGAATAGGCTGAGCAACAATCAGATACCATTCTTTCTACTCCCCAGTAGTCTTCCAAAGGAGTCATTGCTTTGGAAAGATGAGTGTCTGTCATTTTGGGTGGCTCTCTTGGTCTTCAGAGAGGGTCAGACAAGAATGGTGTGCCTGAAAGCCACAAGGCACAATTCGTGGGCAAGAGAGAGTGGCTGCTTCACCCAGGGAGGTGTTAAGACCTTTTATAACCTGTCCTGAGGCAGTGATGGTGGGCTATGGTGTCCAATCACACCTCCATAACCTCATTTGTGGTAGGCTCCAGTGCAACCAGAATCAAGAAGACTTTGGACAGAGAGAGACCTTGCACAGAAATGTTGTAGCTTTCTCTTACGTGTATGCTTTGCCTTCTGAGAATGATGAACATTGATCTGAGTGTGCTCCTTTTAAGAATACTTGATGGTAAACTGGTTCCATCTTAAGGGAGGGAAATTTGGCAATATCTATCACAATGACAAAAGCACTCACCCTTTAACACACACTCTCACTGCTGGGAATTTATCCTGCAGGCATAGTTGCGCAGCTGTGGAATGACTTATGTTCAAGGTTAATCATGGTGACTCATGAAAGCAGCAGATTGGAAACAACTAAAACTCCACCAATGGGTAATGGTTATATAACTTGTAGTACATCCATCCATGGAATACTATGCAGCTCTAAAAAAAGAATGAGAACAACTCTAAGAACTATCTGGAAAGATCTCTCAGATACTTTCCCCCCCTTTTTTTGGCAGCTGGCTGGTATGGGGATCTGAACCCTTGACCTTGGTGTTCCAAGGCTGTACTTCTCAGACACATTTAAAAAAAGCAAGGTGCAAAACAGTGTACATAGTATGCTGTGTTATGGAGACAATAAGAATTGTAGACGTGCTTGCTTGTATTCACATAAAGAAACTCCAGAAGAATACCCAGAAATGTGGATTGGTGTAGGAATAGCGAATGTGAATGGGATGATTAAAGAGGTGGGAGTAAGACCTTTTATGTATAGCATTATATTATTTGACTTTTGGACCGTGTGAAATTTTGCACATTCAAATAATTAATCTTATAAAAGAATATGGGGCTGGCCCGTGCCTCACTTGGGAGGGTGTGGTGCTGATAACACCAAGGCCATGGGTTCGGATCCCATATAGGGATGGCCGGTTAGCTCACTTGGGAGAGTGCAGTGCTGACAACACCAAGTCAAGGGTTAAGATCCCCTTACCGGTCATTTTTTAAAATAAATAAATAAATAAAAAAGAAGATGAAAAATAGGCAATAATCTCAATGTACTAAACCCATTTGTTTCTCTCATGAAAGATTAGTGCGTTAGTGATAGGGTATCTTAAGACTGTCAGTCATGATGGCCTGGGTTTTGCTATAGTAACAACCAGCTTTCAAAT